GTTGGCCTTTAAAAGAGAAGCATAATAATAAGTTAAGTGTTGCCGAGATGAGAATGATTAGGTGGATGAGTGGCTTTACACTTAGAGACAAAATGCGGAATGAATATATTCGTGATAGGGTTGGTGTAGCTCCTGTGACAGACAAAATTAGAGAAAGTCGTCTTAGATGGTTTGGTCATATTAAACGTCGACCATTAGATGATCCGATTAGGAGAGTAGATGTTTTAGATTCGACTTGTGTTAAGAAAGACAGAGGTAGACCTAGGAAGACTTGGGATTATTGTATTAAAAATGATATTAATTTATTAGAACTAAATGAAAATATGACACTAAATAGGACGCAATGGAGAAAAAGGATTCATGTGGCCGACCCCACGTAGTGGGATTAAGGCTTTGTTGTTGTTGTTGTTGTTGTTGTAGATTCATTGACTGAAGGTAGGTTGTCTATCAAATTATGGTACTGTGCTCTGTCCGATGAAATAATCATTCCAAAAGACAACAAGTCTTCATATTGGATTATCTAAAAAAAAAAAGGCGTCCTAAGAAGTTCAGTCGGCCGAATGACTTTGGCCGACTAAATGAATACCACATGACAAAGCCAAACATTTATAAATGTGAAATGGTGTCTAAGATAGCTACAGATGTGAAACGATACCAGCAACGGTTACAATGTCAAGATATGTCTAGTTCAATTACAAATATGTAAATGCGCGACTCATAAATAATAATAGTTCCTATTAAATGAGAGGAAATCACGTAATTTATAAGACCCATTTCTATGACTTATAAATAGGGGGATTCTAAAACTGCTTGATTTTATTAAAGTTTGTTTGGCTACAAGATTTAGTTAAAATAGGTAAGATTTCATATCAATTAGTTTTTTTGGAAATTGGATTTTCGAAATTTACATCATTTCTGCTAATTCTGCATTTTCCTATCCTCCATTTAAATTGTAAATATTGAAAATACAATACACATCATATATTTTATTTGAATTTTGCTAAAGAAAATTTAAAGTTTAATACATCTACAGCTAAATCAGAATCTACAAAATATTTGGGCAGCTTGTGCGTTTCAGGATAAACAACTTATCCTGGTGGCCTATGTTAAGTGTAAAAATGGAACCACATAAACGGACAAAACGTGCGATTCAAACGGTACCGTGACATTTTCAAAAACACCCATCGGACTTATAAATTGACCCAAATGAGCCCTTAATGTTCTGAAACCTTCATCTGAGAATCACTGATCATAATTTCATGAAATTTTCAAGTAACGAATTCCTTTTACTTCAATAAAATTCCTGAAATTTAAAATCTAAAATTTGAAATCAGAAAGTAAATGAGAACCTCCTACCACTCAAGAAGACTTCTAAGCTCATCATCTTCAGCAAAATCGATTTCCCTTTCGAATGCCCCCATCTCCTTCTCCCCCTTAGAAATCTTCTTAGACGCCACAATACCAAAATCATAAACCTCGGTCTTAACCCCACCGTCCAGGGCCGACACATCACAACCGTTCATCATAATCACAGTTTCTTGTTCCATCTTCATCAGAACCGCGATCGCCGATTCCCATCGAGATAACTCGGCAAGAGCATACGATAGCTCACACTGGATCTGCTTCAGTTCTTGCTGGAGCGCAGAGATTTTTCTAACACAGCCATAGATGGGATCGATGAAATACATTCTGGCCTCATACACAAGTGAAATTACTGCATCTTGCCGCTGTCTGGGATGTAGATCGATCAAGATCTTGGCCAGATTGCTGGCGCCGAAGACGCGGTGAACTAGAACAAACATCTGCTGTTCTTCGGGGAGGAAATAGGGAGCGAAGATGCAATCTGGCCGACATTTTCGGCGAAGAAACTTGCATCCTGCGCACGGGTTGCTGTGGAGTGATCCCCATCCCGCAGCCATTGATGATGATGATGATAATCCAGAGGAAGGGGGCGATTGGATTGACGATTGCCCGTCCTCCATCGCTGAGAGACCGATTGTCTTCATCTCATAAAGCTTCATCAAAGAACGAGAAGAAGGGATTGTAGAACATCTTAGGAAGATTTGCATAAACAAATCATGAAGGAAAAGATTTAAGGAAATAGTTACCACTATGAAGACTGATTAAAGGAGGATCAATGAAATCCTTCTCACTTTCGTCTCTCTCTCGTCTCTTGGATGATCTTGTAGAAATAGAGAAGGGGGCGCCATGCGCCTACACTCCCAATTTTAAAACGAGAATGTGATGGGATCGTAGAAATTTTAAAAGAGGGTGCATAAAATAAATTTTTTTATAAAATTACCGCAAAATTTTATTTATTAGATGGGTATGTTACATGAAGGGTATTTGAGAGTTATATTAACTTACAAATATACGAATACAGAAACGAGAAATTTATTAGTTACAGGTAGGTTACGGGAGGTTCAGGGGGCTATAACGTGGATATAACCGCCCAATACCCTCCATGTAACCTACCGACGTACACAACTCTGCGTACGTTAGACATACACAATCTCTCGATAATGACACTTTAAAATTTTTTTATTATTTCTTTAGAATCTGTTAATATAAAAAGACATTTTTTTTATTAGAAGCTGTTAATAGAAATTTAGATGAAAATTTTTTTAACATTAGCCATGTCATATGTTGCCCTAGAGAGAGAAAGAGAATACTTAGAGAAAAATTCTTGAGAATTTGATTAAATTGTAAATGTATATGGCCCAAAAGCCAATCATCTGGTGTTAATCATGCCCTCTTACACCCTATTTATATGATCAAATACATAGCATAGTTGAACAATGACGCACAACAAAAATCAATTAGTGTGCATCACAAAATGCATAAAAAATATATAAAAGTCAAAATTTGATACAATATTGAATTTTTTTAAATGCATATGCATAATTTAACAGATTATTTAAGTTCAACAAATTTATGCGTCAATATAATTATGTTCTCGTTACTCCAAAATAAAAAGATGTAGAGATAAATCTAACTAAACCTGCTTAAATGTATTTTACATAATCCCTAAATCATAATAATAATGAAAATAAAATGACTTCTATTTCTTGGAAAACCAGTTCTCTTCCTAAAGCTCTTGGAGGACTTGATATTCATTCTTTAGATAATATCGATTTGATGTGCGAAGCTAAAATTATTTAGAGCATTTTAGTTCTAACTCTCTCTTAGCCAACTGGAGTATTGATAATTATGACAATATTTGGATTAATTATGTTTCCAAAAAGCTCTACTTCTTCGAAAGATCTTTTCAAAGTTGCTATTAAAATTTGAAGATGTCTTATTTTAAGGTTAATACCTGTTGCAATCTTCTTTTTTCTTTGATCCTTTGATTAAAAGTTCATCTTTATTTGAGCTTTATGGTAATCTGGTTTTTCATTAGTTTTGTTTTCATAAATTTATCAAAGTTAGAGATGTCTTATTAATGGCTATTGGCTTTGTCCTCAAGAATGGAATGTTCCTAATGACTATTAACTTTTTTATTGTTTGCATTTCCTATTACTGATGATGGTAGTACATGTCTTTAGAAAGGAAATGATTTATATAGCAATAAAATTCTTTTCATTTTATTTATGAAACTTTATTTATTAGAGATTGGAATAGATGGGCCTGGTATAAAGACTATACTATTAATTTGGCTTTTGTTTTATTGTAGAAATTTTATGTTTGGTCATAAAACAAGGGATATTTGTAATTTAAAGGTATTAGTGTTAGACTTAATTACTTTCTTTGTCTTAAATGTTTGAGAACTCATAAGCATTTATTCTATAAGTGTTCTTTTTCTCATAATTTATTGAAGAATTGTATCATTATTGGAGGATTTTTGTTGTTGCCAGCAACTTCTTTGAAGTTCTTTACCGTGTTGAGAGTTTTAGTTGCAAAATTCATAAGAGATTCTACCACTCTACTTTTCAAAATGCCACATACAAAATTTAGTTTAAATGAATAATATAAGTTTAAATATTTCTAATACTTCTCTTGAGATTATTTCTAGAAGAATTCATTAAAAAATCAGTCAACAAAGCTAAAATTGAAATTTCAATTATGAAACTCCCACCTTTATTAAAACAATTTATAATTTGTAGTTTGTGGATTCCTTTGGTTACTTTATTTTAGCATTTTTTCCTAGTTTTTTATATTGGCTAGTTGGGGTAGCCTTTCTCAGACTTTGATTATGATCTTTCCTTTGATGCTTATTTGTTGGGCTAGTTGTACCATTTGTATTTCACTTCGGTTGTTGGAGCATTTATTGATTATGTTGCTGGTGGTTGAATGTCTTTATTTTCATTTTCTCGATATAGTTCAAATTTACACTTAATTTTTCTCGAAAGGTCATCTTTGGTAAAGCTATGATAATTTCCATTAATATATTCAATTTGAACCATTCTTTTGAACGAAATTTTTCATTAGATCCTCGAAGGGAATTTAATATTTCTGCAAGTTCTAAGCTAAATGTCTACTATATTTTTTCCCTCTTTCTTAGGTTTTTTTTTTGGCTTTGTTTTTATTAGTTGTATCTTTTTATTTTGTTATTTAGTTTATTTATTTTGTGGGTGGCATATCAGTTGGTCTTCAGAAGTTAGTCTAACTGGATTGCCTCTAGTTTATGTTTGGAGGGCCTACTGCACTTGTGATTCTTTACTCTTAAGCTGCAAGTAATTAAAAATTTGAAGTGTTCCTCTTTCGTAAGAAAAAAATAAAAATTATTTATATTAAAAAAAAGAGGCTTTTACATAAATACCACTCAATTTCTATATATTTACTTATCTAATACCTAAACATTACATTTTATATTTATATGATGGAAATCTTTCATATCATATAAAAATATTATTATTTTAACTTTTAAAAAATGAAGCACACTTTCTTAAAATAAGATGACATATATATATATATATAACAATTGAAGATTACGTAATAATTAAATATGTAAATACATAAGAATTTAGGTAGCATATCTGTAAATCTTCCTAAAAAAAATTATTTTTCTTGGGCAAGTAACCAAGTTATTGGTTCAGTGGCTTAAAGTTGAGTAGGCCAGATATTTACATGCCTATTTTCTCAGTTATATTCAACAATTAAAGTTATAACACCTTTGTCATGATATATTAAGCAATGTGGTTGTTATATAAACAGAAGAAATTAAATTTTCTTATGTTTAGGGAATTGTTAGCATAAGCGGGGCCTGTGGCTCCCACTAGCTGCCCAATAAATTATATATTTAACAAGAGTATTTAAATCCAAAACTATGCACGTCTGCATGTAAATTGTTTGATTTTGTGAATTGTTTTTGTATTTAACCATCAAATATATAGTTTTATTTCGCAATGTGGAACTAAAAATTTCATAATCAGGTTGAAATGTTTCCCACGTGCTTTGTGTGTCCTAATTCCTAGTTAAGCATGCCTTCATCTTTGTAATGTTTAAGTTTGTGATGTCTTATTAATAGTTGAAAGGACAACTCGATGCTAGGGTTTCTTGGAGAGTTTCTTTTGGCGATTTTCTCGGTGCCATTAGGATTCCTGGAGAGGAGAGCTTATTCTGTCCAGTGTCCAAAAAAAAAAAAAAAACTTTTTTTTTTTAAATAAAAATATTTCAATTGGGGTTCGCTGGCATACACTTTTTGTAGAGAGAGTGTTTTGATTGGTTCACTGCCTTACGTGTTTTTGCATACGGTGAACATATGTAATAATTTTTCCCTCGAGAAAGCTCTTTCTTCTTTCTTTTCTTTTTCGAAGCAATTTCGTCTTCTTTCCTTGGTCGGTTTTGGTTTTCTTCTGTGGTTTTTGAGGCTTTGTCCCCTTTTTTTATTTTTCTTTTCTATGGATCCACTATATTTTCCTCTTCTTTCTTCTTCTTCTTATTTCCCTTCTCAATCCATTCTTGATCTTGGATCAATTTAAATTGGAAAGAACTTCTTTCTTCTCATACTACTATTAATTTTAATTTCCCTTACATGCCATGCTCAGATGATAAGATCTCCTGTGATCTTGAACTTGAGGAGGCGCGAAGAAATAGAATCTTAACCTGGTCGACTATGCTTTCATTCAAAGAACTTTCTACAAGAATCTTTTGCAAGGTGTTTGGAGAATTTGAAAACTTAAGGGTTTTATTGATCTAATTTTGCTCACTGAAGGATTTTTATTTTCTTTTCAATTTTGTTTGTTTAGATGATAATGGAATGGTTCTTTCTGGAGGCCATTGATATATTGGCCGAAAACACTTAATTTTTAAAAAATGGACTCACAATTTTAAGCCTAATCGTGAAGATTTTAGGAAAATTCTAGTTTAGGTCTCTTAATCTCCCTTCATTCTAGTGGTCATAATTTGATATTTATAAAGTGGCTAGTCATATCTGAATTCCTTCGGTTGTGGTTTCTTTGATGGCTAAGGGGTCTGGATTAACCTTTGCTAAGGCTATTATAAAACAAAATATTGATTTTCCCCTTCTTAATATTACTATTGTTGTGATCCCTATTTTATTTTATTGGAAACTTTCTCTGTATATAACATAGAATCTCTAGGGTCTAATGTGGGTCGAATCCCCAATGGGTGTGTTAGGTTAGGAGCGTGAAACGAGGTTCTATGAAGCGAAGTGTGTTGTGAAATCAGATTCGAACTGGGTCCTGAATTTAACTTACACTACGTGTCTCTTTCAAGGTTGACTTACTACTAGCAGGTTAAACTAAACCCTTATTTTCGTAATCTCTTTTCAAATTCTGAACGTAAGCAAAATTTGCCAATATTTAAAGAAAACCTCAAAATCATAACGTCATAACACACTCTGTAACTTTAAAATCAAAATGAAATAAAAACTTTCAAACATAAGAAGGCAAAACAATTGAAGTCGGAATAAAATAGTCCACATGTCTATAATTTAAAACAAAGAATGACCAATTCACAAGACAATTTTATTGTTTTTAATATTAATTCTGAAATGTTCAAGGCATAGGATGCCACTAACATTTTAAAATCTTCAAACAACAGAACAATGTCGACACTGAAGTTGATCTTTTCGTTTGATAAGGGACTGCCCCATGACAAGGCTACCCGCTATCAGTGCTCATTCATTTAGTTCAATGCTAATCTCGACAAGGTCAAAGTCATACTCAGGAAAGCACCTTATGTTATCTAAAGACAATCACTCCAAAGAAAGAAGAGCCTACAACTGAGTTTATACTGAAGGACAACCAGGATTTCCCTAAACCCAAAGCTGGAGG